GGCCCCAGAGACAGAGCGTGCCCGGCGCGGGGCGGGGAGCCCCCGCAGCCCCCTTGGAGCCCTTTAAGGCTCTTCCAGCTGCGCTCCCGTTACCTCAGAGCTGGCCCCGGCTCAGAGACTCACAGGAACCGGGCGCTCTCGGGGTCCATGGCAAGGAGGAGGGAGGGGAGCGCCCCGCTCGCAGGCTGCGCACCTCGGAATGGAAATGATGGCACCCGGGAAGGATGAGGGGAGGACGCTGTGCTCGGGTGCCTGTACAGGTGTGCTCCCCGGAGAGGGAGAGCCTGTTAGTCCAGTTCCAGCATTAGTCACAGCTCTGGTGAGGCTGAAATTACACTAATGATGCACAGGGAAACTAGGTCTAACACTCCATGAGATATCTCCTTGCCATGAAGGCAGCAGCCAAGCACTGAGGGGTGGATAAGGCTGCCCAGCAGCTGCAAAACACAGGTGAAGAGAGCTGGTTGTCTCTAGGCATAGAAAGCTCTCTGTGGAGGCTGTAGCTTTGACAACTCTCACAGAGCATTTCTCCCCCCCACCACTTACTGCAGTTGCTCCATCAGGTACCAATCTCCCATGAGACTAATGATGCTCTTTGCACACGCTGCTGAAACTCCTGTGTTAGAGCCCTGTTCCTATCTCATGCAGCTGTATGGGCAGTGACAGATGTCCCAATTGCCCTGACACTTCTACTACAACTGTAGGGAGAGGATTGGTGAAGAGAAGGGAGAAAATGAGCATTGAAGTGTGTAAGACATATCAGGCCCAAATAATTCACTTTTTTTTGTTTGTTTGCTTTATCCTACAAATATGATCACAGAGCAGGAAGGAATCAAAGGACTTCTTTAACCAGGTACATACATAATTTTCAGCTACATCTCTTCATTTTAACTGCATAGGCTGGTGCAAATTATCTTGCCAGATACCATAAAGTTATTTCAGCAGAATGGAGTACTTATTCTGCATGAAGAAACTCCCATACAATTCAGTTTGTCCCAGTAAATATTCTTCTATACCCATATTCTCCAAATCTCTTGCGGAGAGTGACTTGACTCCCAGCTGCACTTGCACCTTTCCCTTTTGATGGTGCTTTGCATCCATGTGAGCACAGAACCAGGGGACAAATTTACTGACTGACCTTGAGACACAGCAACACACTGCTCTACACTGCTATTCTCCCTTCTGCCACCCTCTTACTCCACACTTTGTCAAATTCACACAGGTTACAAAGGCAGTTATTTTTATTTTTTGACACTTGTGAGCTCGCAGATAAAACACTCCAAGACATAAAGGTTTTAAAAAGTTTACCCTTTCAAAATTAAAAGTTCCCAATAAGGAGGACAAGAGGGTAAATCACAATGAAGACTGTTCAAATCCCCCCTAGAGGCCAAAATTACTTTCTTCCCACCCTGCTTTGGCCTCTAACCCTAAGCTCTGTGTGGCAACCACAGTCTCAGGCCCCTCTGCATTGCTGCAAAGAATTCAACTGATTGTGCAAGCCTGAGGGGAAGTGTTGAAAAATGCTCATCGAGACAAGCTGCAGCTCACGTACATGGGGGTGGCCTGTCAGTCTCATCCAACACCCAATTATCTGGCATTGCACACGCATGTGGCCTCCTGTAACAACAGGACTCTTCTGTGTCATCCTGCTGGGAGCGACCGGAAACTTGGAAACCAGACCCTGCCTGACCTCCCCCTGTGGCTGGCAGTTTCATCAGATGAGGTGAGCCCATCTAAGAGCCCTTTATTGCCCCTCATCCTTAACATCTCTGCCATTGGTGAATTATACTGGCTGGGGGCTCAAGCTGCTCCATGAAATAGTTTTAACCAACTCACCTAATAGGAGGGGAAAAAAAAGTAGTGGGAGAACCATTTTCTATCACATTTGAAGTGCACCAGAAATGGTAAGGAGGCAAAGTCAAATAAATGGGACAAAGTAAGACCTCCCTTCAACAGCAGCAAGCCATGAGATGATCTCCATTGCTCAGGAAAGCTCAGTTTAGGCTGCAAGTTCCTGAAGTTGTCTTGAGACCCCACTCCTATTACAGAGCTTGTGCTTGAAGCCAATACCTCAAACCTACAGCAAGAGGCTTTACATACCATAGCGCTAGTGATATGGGAAAGTGATATTTTACTTCTTCCTGGGGAGAAAACAGCTCAAAGAGCAAGCAATCCCACCTGGGGAAGAAATTTAAGGCATCAATGTTACATTCATCTCAGGTCTTCATAAACTACACTGCACATTGCTGGGGAAAAGCATATGCTAGCATACTATTTGCTATGAAAGAACAAGGAGCAGCACCATGCTGCAGTCTAAAATCTCTGAAACAAAGACACAACGTAAAGCAGAGCTGAGTAGGAAAAAAAAAAAGAAAAAAAAAGATTTTTTTCTATGCCTATTTAAGCATTTCAAAAAGGCCCAACATTTTTAATATTAGAACCTCCACACAGCCAAGAGTTCCTGTACATCTCCCTGTCCTGGCTACATTCACAAAAACCTTATCAAGAGTGTCACAGCACTACAGAACTTGTCCTTTCTGGATAACAGCCACCAGTAACCCCAAGCAATGATTCCTCAACTACCCTGGTGTGTTAATGCTCTGTTTCTTTAACTACTCAACTTAGTAGCCTCAACAGGAACAGGAGAGGGAGGAAGGTGTTAGCTTACTGCAAGATAAAACCATACAAAGAAGAAATAGAAAAGAGGAACCCTGTCATACTGCAATTGTGAACTACAGATGTGAAATGGGTGTAGGGATTACAGCAAAATGGTTCCAGGGAGTTGGCTGCTCTTACAGCAACCAGCCCAAGGCAAATTATTGTACTTGCAATTTCACAGGTACCTATAGTTAAACTATCTGAAAAAGAAATGGGAGGTTACACTACAGAGAATGTTCTCTTTCCTTTACTAGATAGGCAGGAATCTGAAATGAAAAATCACTGCCAGCCTTTTAAAATAAGACTGTACATAATTTAAGTCTTGGAGGGGTCCCTATTAGGGGTCTAAACCAGAAAGAGCCAGAAATAAATGGGGGAAATGTCCAATCATTCTCCCACATCCCCATGTTGGAGCTGCCTGTCCCACATGGAGCTGGGGGAGATAATATTCCAGACAGGATTGGTGTCCATAACGTTCACATGCCCATCCAAGTGAGTCTGGTGAGCGGACGGTTTATTAATTCCCAAGGAGACATTCTCAGTCACTTTCAAACTTGATGGAGTTGACTTGGGTTGATATAGTGCCCCCACAGTAGCTGCCCCGTTTTTTCTTTGTCTTCTCATGACGAAAAGATTTGCCTTTGGTGAACTTCAGGATGTTGTTAGCCTTCTCACCCCAGTCACCAGCAGCTCCTTTCTGTGAGGGACAAAGCAGGGAGAAAAAAGGTTCAAGTCAGCATCCAAGAGCGTAAAGACACACAGTGAACTTATCCCTGCTCAGCAAATCACACAAGAGGAGGGCTGGAGCTTACAGTCTCCACATCCATGCATCTCCTAGCAGTACTCATGCATTTCCTAACAGCACCTCCTGGTGGAAGAAGCTCCCACTAGCGGGCAACCCACGAGCAAACCAAGGCCACTCTGGATGACCTCTATTTGCAAGGGCCCAGTGCGTGTTATTATTTTGGCACTACCTAGCCCTACCTTTGCATCAAACGAGTTATCAGCAACACGGGCATCCACCTCAATCTCTTCTTCTCTTACTCGCCGGAATGGAGAGGATGGCTATTAAGAGACAGAAAACTAGCTATTGTTAAGTGAATACACACACATAGGCTTCTTTTAATAACAACCACCGTCTCTCTTAACCAGGCAGATATGGACTCCTGTGCAGGTAACCTCAATCCTTGATCATTTCCCAGATTCATAACCCTTCCCCTTCTGCAACACAGGGATGCTCCTGCACAAGTATAGCCAGCCAGTCTTTGCCAAGTAACGTTACACACATATGTACATATTCTAAGGTTCTATGGACAGAGTTCTTCAAATGACTGATGAGTGGGCAAAAAAACCCCAACAATTCATGCAGGAAAAGGAAAAGGAAAAGGAAAAGGAAAAACACTATGGGATTTTCCAGGGAAAAACAACCCAAAGATCTATCCTTATGCACCTGTTTCACCCTGGGAAACGTGTTTGGTGTTTTGGCTTTGATCTTTGTCTTTTTAGTATCTGGTGTCTCTAGCTCCTGGATATCGTCCCTCTTCCGTTTCTTCTGGATCATGCCTGTTAGATAAAGAGCAGTAAAACTTCAATGGGAGTAACTGCCATGCTGGGAAATGTAATGGCACTGCTGTCCCATTAATGTAAACCCGGTGTTGAAATACAGGTGTGAGAATCAGTTCCTGCAGTTCCTTACATATAAAACAAAAAGTCTCATTTACGCCAAGAGGTATCCTGGAGCTGTAGAGCACCAGATCATATGATCTAGTACACACACAGATTATACTGAATATCATTCAAGTTTCCCACCCATGTTTTAGCTCAGTTGCACACTGCCCAGCAGACCCACTTCTCAACCTGCAGGTAGTACCTCCGTTTGCTTTTCCAGTCTCTTCTTCAGAGCTGCTTTCACTGCTGCTACTGCTGCCATCAGCTGGTTTGGACTTCATCTTATTTGCTGCTGGTGTAGATAAAGCTTTTGCTTTCTCTGTGGAAGCAGTGCTATAAGAACCATTCAGCACCCCTTTCCCTGCCTTTTTGGGCTTCTCATCTGCTTCACTGGAACTATCAGATGAGCTACTACTACTGTTAGCAGCAGCCACCTTCTTCCCCACAGGTGCTTTTGTGGCCCCTGCAGATTTGGTGACAGGTTTCGCTGCTGGCTTCTTTTCTTCCTCACTGCTTGAGCTATCAGAGTCTGACGAGCTGGCTTCAGGAGCTGGGGTGCGAGGTTTGGACACTGGCTTACCTGCTTTGCCAGTTAATTTAGCTGGAGGGGCTTTCTTCTTTTTCTCATCCTCAGAGCTGCTGGAGCTACTATCTGAATCAGAGCTACTTTGTGCTTTCTTTGCAACAGCTTGTGGCTTCTTGGTGGCAGGGGGTGCTGCTTTAGCTGCAGGCTTCACAGGGGCCTTATTTTCAGAGCTGTCAGAATCTACAAGGGAATAGCAAAACAAAGTCAAGCCTAAGCCCAAATCCTTCAATATGAAGCTAACATTCAGGTCAGTGTTGACACACCATTAGCTGCCTGGAACAGCACTGTGATGGTCATACTCTGTTCAACTGTACCCTCCACATCTTGGCTACTAACATGCTAGACAAGTAAGAGCAGTAATTATCATTTTCTCCAGTCCTCTTACCTGAGCTGTCCGAGGAGGAGCTGGAGTCTTTTTTTGCTGGCGCAGGCTTGGCAGCTACCTTTGCTGGTTTAGAAGGATTCTTTACCGCAGGTTGTTTAGCAGGGAGCTTTCCCCCTACTTTCTTGTCTTCCTCAGAGCTAGAATCTAAGCAGAAGAAGGATGTTCCTTCCGTTAATAAGCTTCTGGTGCAAGTTATCAAAGTTACCCAATAACTTTTACTTAAGGCAACACAATCAAAAGAAACAACGTAACATATACAAAACACATGGGAAAAAATCAAAATGGGTTTTGGGCAAAGACTCAACCTCTAGAGAACTGGCAAAAAGAGTTTGATGAACCTCTCAAATTATCAGTGGACACTGATCATCTTTCCACTTTGCATCTTTGATGGCAGAAGAGGAAAGAGGCAGTAACAAGTTCTTCATTGTTGCATGCACAAAAAAGTGGGCAAATAATATGGAAAATGTGAGAAAAGGTGAAAAATAATGAATTGGAAAAAAAGTAAGCACAGGTATCACTAAAAAATAAAAAACGGGAAAAATGTGATAAAGATCGAGAAAAAGGACAATAAACTAAAGTATAAAACTGGTGAAAGGAGGAAAAAAGTGAGTAGGCAATAGGATAGTTTCTCATTTTAGTTCTTTTTTTGTGTCAGGTATGTTCATCAGCAGTTTGAGGATGAGACTGGAGATTTCTGTGTACAAATATGCCCTTTGTATTGCATTTCACACTAATCTGGAATGCTAAGCCTGATCCACTCTAAACATCTGCTTACAAATTATAATCAAAACTTTGTTTGTTTCTGAGAAACTAGCTAATAAAACCAGAGAACACACATAACTTGCCACTTCTTGAATGCATTCTACATTCTATGCTGTTTGCAGATAGACAGGCTGCTGTCACCCACAGCCCCTGATGCAGCATTAAGGATACTGAGACATATAAATCAAAAGGTCCTCAAATATGTGGGGACAGAAGTGTAGCACATACAGAGTTTGTGCAGGAAACTCAGGGCTGCAAGAAGTCACAAATCTGACCAACAGACACGTTCACCCCTATTCTAGGGTCATTTTAGAAGCAGCATCCTTTGAGTCTATTCTTGGTAGGGTAAAAGAATTTTTAATTTGGGAAACTTTACTGAAACACATAACATCCACATAATGGGATGTGCTGAAGAAGCTGCAGAGTTTCGATACAGATTCTCACTGAGTGTAACTGCTAACCTTCCTGGAGAAACTTCTTCTGAATGATGCCATACCCTGTCCAGCCTACAACACATAGACCTTTTTGTGCTTGGCAATGGTCTCCTCTGTGTCCTGTGGTCAGGTTTCATTCTGCACAGCAAGCTGCTCTTCTAGTTCACAATTTGTTTGCTATGGAGACTGAAGCTTTCAAGCTCGTACTCTAAAGATCTCAGTAATTATGCCACTACAGAGTGACTTGGTCAACAAAAACATTTGCAGAAATCAAGTCCTTAAAGTACCTGAGTCACTGTCTGAACTGGATTCGGCCTTCTTGGCTGCCACAGCTTTGTTTTTGGCACCAGGAACCGTTTTAGCTGCCACTGCTTTGCCTACAAAATCAAGTCTAAAATTAACAGGTCACATTCACATGAAACCTTTGCCTCAAGATCCAATTTTTTCCAGACGTGAAAAAGGTCACTCTTCAGCACACCAGTCATTCAGCCACCCCATCAGAAGCCAAGAAAGGAACATTAGCCCCATTACTCCAACTGCACTTAATAGTCCTGTTTCATTCCTGCTAAAGTAAATCCCAACGACTTTTCAATCCATCATGTGTAAACCTATCCACTCTGCACTGCACACAATTTGGATCCAGAACACAGTGTTCTGTTTGGGACAGTTTCATATTTCTCAGAAACCTCCGGAGAAGCAAGTACCAACACATGGCAAAGTCGTATTCCTTTTAAAAGAAACCAAGAGATGGCCAAATACTGACAGTACCACGTAGTGCTTCCTTTGCAGCCTCCTCACAACACACCTGCTCCTCCCTTTGTGGGCACCTGCTCTGCCTCATCACTGCTGTCTGAGGAGTCACTGCTCTCAGCCCCTTTTGCAGGAGCCTTGGCAAGGCCTTTCTTCGGCTGTGCAGCTTGAGGAGGTGGCACAGCACTGTATGGACCTATAAAGAGAGAGATTGATTCAATCATAACATAGCAGTCAGATGTCAGCACTGTTGCACAGGTAGCACATTTGAGATCTTTGTTTCAACTAAAAAAAAGCACTTCTGCTATTCAGTTCAATTTATTCCCCTTCTCTAGTTATAAAGACATTAGCTTGTAACTTGAAGGGTTACTTCAGCCCACTCCACTGCTGTCTCGTGTTTTTATTGTAAATTTAACTCCCCTTTTCTGGGCTCAGCTAACCCAGCATCTGAGGAAGTTCTCTCAGTACTTTAGAAAACAGAAACTTGGGTTGCCAAACTGTTTCCGAACAAATGGCTATTGCTGTTATTGCTCTTTTTCATTTACTCCTTTCTTGAATCCTCTCTTCCAAAGTTTCAGTGCCTGATTCCCCACTCAGACCAATTCTCTACTGGAATCCCAGAAGTGCTGTACCATATTGAACAGAGGTCCATCCAGTCCATCTGTTGAACTGGGACTGAGTGGCTGTGGATACTTCAGAGAAAAAGAAAGACACAAAGTCCTGAGACTATAGACTAATCAAATCAGAGACAAATCACTTTCCAAATCCTGACAAATAGGAAACTTGCAATAGGGATATCCTTAAAAGCTATCTGAACAGAAGACTGCTAGCAAAGCAAGCAGGGTAAGTCAGAATCTCTCTCCTCCCATCCTTTGCCAAAAAGGGGCTACACTTCAAGTTTAGTCCTAGCAGTGTACATGGAATTAAGCTCCCCTATCTCTACCACATTTGACATAAGGTACCATTTGGAGCCTCATGTGGAGCAAGAAGTGGAGAAGCATCTGCAACCTGCAAAGAGCTCTCCAGGATAGCAGGGTTAGCAGCAAGGAGCCTCCCACACAGCAACAACAGTGTTTAGTACTTGCCAGACTTTGGCTTTTGCTTTGAGGCTGGCTTGTCGTCCTCCGAGCTGTCAGAAGAGTCCTCACTACTGGAATTTGCCTTGGCAGGTTTGGTTTTGCCTGGGCAAGCTTGAGGGGCTGCAGGTTTGGCTACAGGCGATTTCTTAGGAAGAGTCTTATTGCAAGGAAGGAAGGAAACACACATAAAAATGAAATTCCATATCCAATTGTCTGTCCAAGATTTGTATATCCCATTTTAACTCACTGCCTACTTGTCAGAGAACAGATTTGGAAAACTAAGGTATGAAGATTAGTGAAAGTTTGCAAATTCTGGGAAACACAAGCATCATTTTTTTGGCCCTTCTATTATTTTCTGCTCCCTTCTTGACAGTCCCTCTGACTACAGAAGAGTGGCACTGAGCACTGACTGAAATGGCTGTGAAATAGTTGCAATTGTCACTTGATTGAATTCATATGGAAATTTTCTGTGTTGCAAAAATAATAAAAAAAAATCAAAAAATTCCATAATGGAAAATGCAAAATTTAAAGGGAGACTACAACATAGTTAAGATAAAGAAGATTTTTCGGGTAGAAGGAACAGAAGAATATGTATACAGGCATTAGGAAAGAAAGCCAATGGATGGAGAGAAAACAGAATTCCCCTATACAAAGCACAAAGTCAGCAGGAGAGCCACAACGGCTGCACTCAGTTGCCAGGCAGTCTGTGCACGGTCTACACATTTCACAGTCCTTGCAAAGCAGCAATACACCCACTCTGACTAGATTTCTACACTCCTCATGAAGTCTTTGTCTCACCTTCTTCGGGGCAGCCTTCTCCTCATCAGAATCTTCACTACTGCTGCTACTGCTTGCTGCTTTTCCATTGACGAGCTTGGTAGTTACCTGGGCAGGTTTACTTCCTTTAGAGACAAGGCAAAAGAGACATCAGAAAATATCCTATGGGAGGTGATGGGCAATTCCATTCAGCATAAAGTATCAGAGAGAAAAAAACACCATAGGAAGTTAATGGGTAAAATTAAGGCAGTATTGTGAAACCAATTTTTATCCAATTGCAAATTTAGAGAAGGTTTTCAGAAAACTGTTTATTCCAGCCAGTCATAAGCTCCATGATCAAATGCTGGGTTTATTATTTTTAAACTTGCTGCAGCCCAGTACTGCTCATTGAATAGAAGACATTGGCAAAAGCAGAACTTCTGCAGTTAGGGTTGCTAAATGCAGCTATTTCTGGAGAAAAAAAAAAAAAAAAACATTTAGCACCTGGAAACAGATGTTTCACTTGAAAAATTAGTTCTACACATAGTCCATGTCAGGAGCAGGCTGGACTGGAACGTGAATGGCTGTGACAGTAGATGCGGTAGATGTTACTCCACTAATACATGTGCCTTAGTATAGTATACGTATACTGACTCAAGACACACATTGTAGTAGTACCTGACTTAGGTGTCACTGGTTTTGATGGATGTTTCTTTGGTGCTTCCTCATCTGAGCTGCTTGAGTCAGAGCTGGAGCTCTCTGCTTTCTTCTGAGGCTGGATTTTGGTGCCAGCTGGCTTCACTGGTGGTTTTGTTCCCTTCTAAACAAAGAGAGGGAAAACCTATCAGTCTTCTAGCCAAGAAAAGAGGCTAATAAGCATGACACACATACAGGGAGTACAAACTGTTATCTTTCACAGATGTTGCTATTTTTACTTGGAAACTTCATTCTCCCTCAAGATAAAGACCTAAAATCCCAGAACAATGATTTTGCTCAGGAAAATCTCCTGGAAGCTGGGAGGATAAGGGACTTCCCTTGCACTTCAGTCCCCAATTCTACCTCCGCATATAGGGTAGCTCAGGGGCTGGCACTGTATTCTCTTTCCTCTGCGGACAAATTTACTTTATAGGCTCAAAACAGCGACTGGAACAACTCTGGTTCATCTCTTCAAGTATGCATTTCCATTTCTCAAAAGTTCTATTTTTTTTAGGCAGTTTTAAATAATCTTTGCAGTGAAAGCAAGCAATGGCAGTCTTAGGGAAAAAGCAAGAGGCTTTTGGATGTGAAACAGAGAGTGGGTGCCTAACCTTACACGAACCTTTTGCTGTGACCACTGCAAATGGCAGACTGTGCATTATGGAACTCTTATATTAGATTGTACCTGCACCGGTCTAGGTATTTCACAGTTCAGGAAAAGTAATCCCAATTCCAGACAGAATTCTGCTGGTCAAACTTACTGTTATCCATCAGTGTCAAACATGCATTAAGGAAGATGGAAAGAAAAACTGACCTTTGCTGGCTGCTTCTCCTCCTCAGAGTCTGAATCCTCACTGGAATCCTCACTGCTGCTCTCTGCCTTCTTGGCAGGAGGAGGGGCTTTCACCTTGGGTGCAGTGGCTATTTTAGCTGCGAATAAGGGATAAGTGAATTCGTATTATTTCATATACATATTTCCTGGACTCCTGTGCATGAGGGCAAGAAATTAAAGTTAGTAAATCATAGCTGAAGTTCAAGACTGGGCTTCAAGCCTTCATTTCTCAAGCAGAGCATAGTAGAAGACTCCAAAATGAATTAAAAAAATAGCACTGTTCACTCTTGGACACATACCAGTTCAAATACAAACTTTATGACCAAAAGTTTCACCAAGTGCAGGCTTCCAAAGGGAATACTGCAGCGCTGTTTTGAGCTTCCAGACTCATGGCTTAACTTGTTTTAGACAGGTCTGCCCCTTTCTGCTTACTGATTGCTTCTTTGCTCCACTTTCACTTTGAAGTATATTTCTGACCTGTCTTATCAAGGAAAAAAACAGGTCTAAGTTCAAAGTCAACCTTAGGCTAGACTGAATTAAAGAGCGATTTTATTTCTGGGTGTCTCCCTGCCTACTACTCCTTTACCTTGAATCTGCTGCTAGATGCTCACACAGTTGTGTACACTGTGGTTCAGACAGGGCATAAGAGCAAATCCAGATAAGAAGGAAAACATAGCTCCCCACCTGCCAACATGCAGCTGAGGGACTTACTTCTAGACAGCACTAGGACACAGGCTTGAGAAAGGAGGGTAGGAAGCTCACACAAGCAGCAGGGTAAGACTGCAGGTGAGGAACAACACTTGGCATTTCTCTGCAGCCTGAGGATCTCTTCCACAACTGCCCTGCCTCAAACAGGTCATGATGCCCATCAATACACAGAGCCTGATAAAGCTAAGCTAAGTATAAGTTTTGTCAAATTATGTGTATTTTAATACATAAACCTTGAATATATCCTGAAACAGTTTTCCTACAACAGTCAGAAAAGAAGCCATACGTCATAAGATTCCAATGGAACTGTGAGTCCTGGGAAAAATGCCTGAAGGAAAAATCATGGGCTACCTCCTTCTCCAAGCATCAGCCCAATTTATGTAACAGCCCAGATTTTGAAAGCACTGAAGCAGGTAAGAGCAGCTTCGCCTAGACACCACAGCAACGAGTGCTTGGACAGTAGAATCTCTAAGTCAATAACATAATGAAGCATCTTCAGAACTCACTACAGCCTACTGCTTTCATTAGTCTCAGCCAACAGAGATAAATCACTAAAGGCTGCTAGTAGATTTAAAACTTGATCTACTTCAATTATAACTGGATTGAGAAATCGGCTGCAAATTGGATGAACATATGCTACAGATGTGGATGGGAATTACAGGCAGATCTACCAGAACCAAAATCGCTTAACATAAAGCCAATCCTTGAGAGCAACTTAAAGATTTCAGATGAGTCCCAGAAACTGAGCTCTATATCCAGATCCTGAACAAACTGTCAGACATAATGCCTGCCTGCCTTAAGAGCTCCCAAGATCCCTACCTGGTTTCTTGGCTGGTGGTGTCTCATCTTCCTCACTGGAGCTGTCATCGCTGCTGGACGAAGATTTCCTCTTTGCGGTAGGTCCATTGGGAACGATCTTTCTTTTCTGGGCAGCAGGAGACCTGAAAAGAGAATGACTTCGATTCAAACAAGGCTTCTGCTAACCCTATATCCTCCCAGCCTTGACGAAGCAAAACGTTACTCTTAGCCACAATCACTCCCCAGGATCTGTTTTACTCTTTGCCCTGCAGCCCCAACCTGGGCCTAAGGCACAGGCCTGAAGGAATAAATGGCGTTACCAGAATTACTGTTGCAATATTAAACCCAGGGGCTGAAGCATTCTTTGGCATTAGGCCTCCCCTGCACTCGGGCACCCATGCGGGCGCTGGTGCCCCACAGCTGTGTCCTGCGGGGCTTTCACGGCCGCGTGTAACCCACGCGCTGCGAGTTCCCCCCTCCCCCCCAGCTCGCAGGGCTGCAGGCACGTGTCCCCACGCGGGTTCGCAAGGCAGCTCGGCGGGCCCCCCGGGAGCCGAACGTACCTCAGCCA